TTTTCGTTGTGGATTGCCTTTTTCAAAATACGTTACACCCAATAATCGGACATCTCGTCACCATTCGTTATTCCATGTCAACAAACACCTCCTGCTTCCAAGTAACCTACAAAGTGAAGAACAACCTACCAAAGGCAATGCGTTTCCATCTTCTTTGCATTGCAGTAGCCCTAACCATTCAGTTGGAAGAACCAGAAGTATGCATACAAAAGAAAATTATTCAACCATTTCTACTTTCATAGTAACAACTCCGCTGCTTCGACTTCACTTTTGCTTGTAGGCTTATTTTTCTAACTACTTAAAACTCTTGCATCATTCCGAATGTTGTTTTGTTTCCATGTACACTCTGAGCGCAACTCTTTCATCAAACTATTCATGTTGTTATTACGTAACTCTTCTTTAACAATCGTTTATGACAACTCATCACTTTTGTCACTACCCTCTTATATCAACATCCAATTCATCTGAACTTACTAATTGTATTTTCGTTTGACAAATTTAATGTACACGCACACACATACAAAACAACCATTTATGTATATTTACGATTGAACAGCTATGAAAATGAATTCGCCAACGAAAAGACACTCTTTGCTGAACAATTACTGGTATTTGTACTGATTATTGAGTTGATGTAATATTTACAGGATTGATCATAGGCTGAAAAGAGCAAGAGGACTATTCGAAAACCACATAGAAATACGAGGCAGTTGTTTCGCACTTGTCTGGGATTCTTCATCAGCACGCGATAATCATGGTTCTCACTCAGGATCAACCGTGTACAACAAGCCAAGCTCCCAGACCGTTCAACCATTTGAACCTGACCTTCTGGTCCATGAGCTCCAACTTCTACCAATTCGTCATACACATTTAGTGTAACCACCAACCAGTGTTACAACTTGCTGAGTCTAGGCTGAAATAGACATCCAGTAATTCACTACAGGTTTCCAGAGGTTTTCAAACTGATGTCACTTGGTGACCGATCTTGTAGCCAATCAAATTCCTGCAAACGAACACTTGATTGATAAGTAATCGTGTTCATCATGTGGCTTATTCTGTTATTATCTAGTAAATCTGATATGTATTCGTGAGTCTGGTGATTCAATCAAATATCTGTTCAGCAACACCGGTTGGCTGCACACTTGTGATTGACTCAAGGGGTTGGACTTTCTGGCAGCGTCAACCGACGGAATGAAGGACCGTGAGAACATATACTCATCGATGATTTAGGCTGACCGTAGCTCTCTTTCCTTAGCTCGTAGAATTAAGAACTCATGGAAAACTGGATTCCATACTAGGTTAATGTCCAACCAATTAGATTCGTAACTTTAAGACAATGATTTCGATCTCCGAACAGAATTGTCGGTATGTATAACCGAAGGATTCTAACCTAGGATGGAATGGTTGTTTAATACTCCTTCGTTCCCGCTGGTTTATAGGCTGTGCGTCGGTGGCACAGTGGTTAGGACATGCACATGGTCCGGGGTTCGAGCCCGCACCGACGCACACCTGATACCTATGGTCGGCCTGCAAAATTTGGGCTACCGATATCCATGCTGAAAATTCCATACTTGTACCGAAAATACAGTGTGGAATCAAGCTGTAAATCAAAAATAAAGTAAATAAAAAATAATTTGTTGTCTACAGGATTTCGATCTGGCCTCACTGTCCTGTTGCCAACTGCTTCCGTAACTAACTGTTCCAAAGTGAACAGCTTTCTATCTAACATCAGCTAGCCGTCTAGTCTAAGCTTAATGCTCTAACGTCAAATAAACCACTCCAAATATCAGACAGTCAATTCCACCTTCAGCAATTAAACTCATCTCAACAAACTCATTACTACACACCATGTTTCCGGCTTATAGGTCAGTGATATAGATAGTACCACAAGCATAAAATACCCTCCTACAGTTCTATATCCTCGCCTTTCTACATCGCCCCATATCTGGTCGACTTCTAAGAAAATCCTCAGTCTAACCACCTTCTACATTGAGAAGTTACAGCAATCTGGAATCACTCAACCTCAACTTTCACAGTTTATTAGCTTCTCCATCTTACCAATTACTCTTCATTGCTCCTCACAACCCACACCTTAGTCTTTACTGGACTACCTACCTACTCAAAAACGAGTATGTCCTATTACGCAGGGTATTAAACGTTGTTAGCAGGGTAAGTTGTGTGCCACTGACTCAGCTCACTACTGTCATAGTCGACAGAAACTGGAAATCACCTGATAAGCCGCCGAAGTCCATACATATTTTCTGTCTCTCAACACTCCATTTCCCCCCTCGCTCTATTCACAACTCTCACCGCCTTTCATCTTATCTGGTAGGTCTGTCTAGAGGTCATTATATTATAAGAGATTATATACTTCGATCGCACAACCAAGTGCTCAATAACGCAACAATAGATAGCCTATTTGTTTCACCCACCCAACTGCGTTCTACTTCATAAAGATAGTCTTAAACACGTGAAACTTACGAATTATTGTGCTACTGGCATGTTTTAAAAATGGAACAGTCATTCTCGCATATTTGTAATTTCATGATGACACTCACTATTCCCATTATCTTATAATTTTGTGTCAGCAATACTAATACTATCCTTGTTCTTATCATAATTTTCATCTGACATTGCCGAAAGTTGTTGGTTTTATCAATAATCCTGGCCGAGTTTACCCTGTACATCCGCCGTTAAGTAAATTAGACGCAATTATTGTACAAAATGCTGACATCTTCACACTGTATGACAAGCACTACTTTGGAATAAAGCAAACCATCATTACTATTAGGTAATTGCATCATCAGTTCTACCACTCATGAAGAAACCTACTAATACTCTCACTAAATCGAGAATTTGAAGTGTTGTGAAGATGACAACGGATGTCTAGATGAAGGAGACAATCGGAGCTTTGCAAATGAAACACATTTAGCTCAGAGAAATGAAATAGTTCCTTAAAATATGTGATTTTCACTCTAACAACTAGTCTAACTCGGTTTGCAAGTGTATTATATATGCAGGGTGAAGTGGCTAACTGCACTAGTTCATCGACCGCCTTACTTATTAAGGGAATGCACAGTAGGCCGAGATTAGGAATCTTCACAAGTTTTCCAATACTTTCTAGCTACCTGATGCCATCATCCTGAATCCAATGAAATCCCTGCAAACCAACACTCGGGTGTCAATCTGATGCTGACCAGCAACCAGCCTTATTCAGATAGGCAGTAATAGTTACCTGGATTCTAGTGGGAAGTCATGACCAGCGTGGAGTACAGCAGGTCGAGTATGAAGACTGGTGGTCGCATGATATACTGAATGGGCAGAAGTTGGAATTCTTCACGGACAGACCATCGGATCCGGACCCAGTGGCGATCTTAACTGTCTACCAGCTAGCTCGCCGTCTTCTAACCGGTGAGTCCTACGTTCCAACCACTGTGGTAGGTGCGTTCTGGTGGAGAGTTGCAAACTACAGAAAGAAACAGCTGTCCAGTACTTCTTTAAGCAATGTCATCTCATGATGAAATCACGTAACCAAACAATCAAATCAAATCCTCGTAAGATACACTTGTTTTAACAGCTAGACCTCATCAGCGTGTCGGTGGTAGAACGCTCGCCAACCACGGGATCCCTGGCCAACGTATTCATACACCCCGCTGACCCTATAAATAAGGTCTGTACACGGTGGGGCGAAGGCCCAGTATGACGTTTGCAAACTCACCCCACTGCTACTGAAACTGCTGAGCTCTCAAGGTTGGAGCCATCTATTCCATACGGAGCGCCAGGGAATAAAAATTAATAATAATAAAAACCGTCTACGGACTCCGTCTAAGAAAAAACAATCGGAAGAGCCTACCGCAACACCTGGCATCAGAACGACACCCTGGGCAGCGATGATTCGACGTTTTGAGCACAAGTCACTACACTCATAGCCATATCAGTTAAGTCACACACCGTGACTATCAGTGGCAATAATATGTGCTCGAAACATCACTCAATTATTGATCAATACTGCATCATCACGGTGTGATATTTGAAATAGACCTATTTATTGTTGAATTACATTCTACCACGGTGTTCAAGTTCTGCACTTACATACACCAGTAACTAGTGTCACACGTCCAGTCCTTGGTTTGTTGCAGACTTCAGTTGCAGTCTTGTGTCCAATCAAAGCACTGTTGATTTCGTTTTTATTAAGAAATGTAATCTGTCCTCAAAAGACCTACCAGAATGTAAGTAATGTGAGGGCTGTTTATAATGTTTAGTGGATGTAGGCAAATAGTCGTCAAACAACTGTGGAAGGATTTGTGTCTCATGTCATGGTGTAGCTAATTGTCGATTCAAGCGGGTTCTACTTTGAGCTGTGAACTCTGAGGTCGTAATCCCCCTCCACCCAATTGATTCTGCTAATGAATGTGGCTGATGTCCTGTTACATTGAGAAACTCATCCTGGGTAAGTGGATTCTCACAAATGTGTTCCTTTGCGTTCTCAGTGGAGCAAAGGGGACTCCAAGCTAGAGAGTTGGTGTTTCGGTAGCAGTAGTGTTTACTTTTACGGGATGGGGTTGTTAGCCTGATGCCCAGCCCAATCTCCCCTCTTTTGCAGTCTTATTATTGGCTTAGTGAGTTAAAGTAGTGCGTTTGTGACCGGGGATCTAACCGGACCACATGAAGCGTGGTCGGTGGGCATTCTACCTCACTCTATCCCATTATTGATTGTGATGACTGCTCCTGTGTGTATAGTTTTTTGACGCTTGAAAACATGACAAAGTTGTCATACATAACTTTGTCACAAACGCACTATTTTAGCTCACTAAGTCAGTAAGAAGACTGGTGCAGGAGGAAGATTGGGCTGGGCATCAGGCTAACAACCCCATCCCGTAAAAGTAAACACTACTGCTACCGAAACACCACCTCTCTAGCTAGGAGTCCCGTTCGCTCCACTGAGAACGTAAAGGAACACATTTGTGAGAATCCACTTACCCAGGATGAGTTTCTCAAGTCCACAGATCAAAGTAGAACCCGCTTAAACCAATAATTAGCTACACCATGACATGAGACACAAATCCTCCCACAGTTGTTGGACGACTATTCGCCTACGTCCACTGAACATTATACATAGTCCTCACAGTAGATACATTCTGGTAGGTCTTTTGAGGACAGATTACATTTCTTAATGAAAACGAAGCCAACAGTACTTTGATTGGACATAAGGCTGCAACTAAAGTCTGCAACAAACCAAGGACTGGACGCGTGACACTAGTTACTGGTGTAAGTGCAGAACTTGAACACCGTAGTAGAATGTAATTCAACAATAAATAGGTCTATTTCAAATATCACACCGTGATGATGCAGCATTGATTAATAACTGAATGGCGTTCCGAGCACATATTATTGCTACTCACAGTCACGATGTGTTACTTAACTGATATGGCTGTGAGTAATGATTTGCGCTCAAAACGTCATCCAGTTATTAATACTGCAATCACTGTGTGATATTTGCAATAAACTTATCTAATACGCAATTAGTTAGCATCTACGGTTCAACCAAACCATCTATCACAGTCCTAAATGAGGTCAATCGCCAGCACGAATAGCCACTGCGGCGTCAGATTACAATATCAGAGGGAATATGAGTTTCCTCCAGACTGCGGATACGCCTTGCTGATAAATGGCGACAAGCACCAAGCCTACGTCAAATGCTTCTCGCTCACCACCTCCAAAATCAACAGTGACTGAAACAGCACACCTACAAGTGTGCTTTCAACGTCTAAATTCTAAGGAATAACCCACTAACATTCAGACAACCAGAGAGGTATCATTAACCTACCGCAGTAGATGACCTGCATCACAAAAGAAGCTGCCTTCCTCATGAACAAATTAGGGTCTACCAGTTGAGTTGCATAAGCTAATTATACTTCAACGGTAGCTGAAAATTTATTGTCGTCGTCCTCGTCTTCTTCAACCCTACAAAACATCCATCCCAACTGAGTACATCCATAGACACCACTCAGGTGTGATGCAGCAGAGAGACAAAACATGCCCCATTTGCAACTGATAAAACACATTCACAATATCACTCAAAAAAGACAAAAAGACATTATAACTTCTTACACATCACAAACCTTTTTAACTCGACTATTAAGTTCTTCGATGAATAATCGGCGTAAATTGTGTAGAGTTTGTAATTCTTTGTTGACTGTCTCTTCCGAACCACGTAGATCTTTTCTAGCTTGTTCACGTTTCTCAGCCGTCTTCTCGAACGTGCCTAGTAGTTTAGTTTTTGTCGCCAATCTTTCACGTAACTGTTCCACCTCCTCTTGTGATTTCTCGGATTGGAATTTGAAATTATTAGCTTTACTGTGAATGTAAAAATGAGAATAAAAATAGAAATGAGGAGGAACTACTGAACCTCAACTTTTAAAATTTGTTAAATCTTCCATCTTATCAATTATTCTTCATTGCCCCCTACAACCACACCTTAGCCTTTCCTGGGCTACCTACTAAGGTATATGTGTTGAGCAGCAGTAGGTTGACAGTATTGGAAACTCTCTCCTGCTTCCCCAACACAATCTACATTCACAATCGTGCTGTCTTTAGTTAAAAACGATGTTGTCCAGGCGATAGTGTGCATAATGCTCTAACAAAATAATTATGCATACAAAACGCCAAAGACATTCACATATTTGGTTGTAATCATCTCATGTGTCTAACCCTTCTCAGAGAAACCAACCAGACTCAACTGAACCTTTCTGTACACTTTCAAACAATAAGAAAAATATTCACTCGGATATATGAACATTATCATGGTCATTATCGAAGCAAAATAAGCCCAATAACATCAAACTACCGAGATCATAACGACGATGATACGACACGTGGACACTCAGTAAGTTGTACGTGCACATACAGTTGTTCACTGGGTGACAGACAATAAGGTCACCTACTGTGCTAAGAGACTGCAACTAATATGCTCTCACAATATACATGCTGGTTGCTGATTCGAACACACTTTTCACTCAGATAGGCTGTTGTATGAGATGACACCGACCAGGTGACTCGGTGAAGAAAGGCCTCAAATTACCACTCACAACCAGACAGGTTGAAATAGAGATGAGGAATTATGGGCTGAAATTCGACTAGTTCAAGTCGGTGGACCACATCATCATCTCCACAACACACCTATCAAAAAACAGACAACTTACTCTTTGTATTCTTTCAACTTCTTCTCTTTCTCATCTAATTCATCACGTAGAGATTTCACCCGAGCAGCATAACACTCTGATTGTCGTTTAAACTCTTCATCTAACTTTGCTCGTAACGCTGACTGATCAGCTACTATTTGTTCACTTTCCTGATCGGATCCGGCGATCAATAGTTCATTAGCGCGTAGTTTTGCCAACTCCGCATTTAAGCTATCCACTGTCTCCTGCAATTGACGCTTACGTGATTCTGACTCATCAATTTTGTCGCTTAAGGTGCCAACTTTCACTTCAAACTTAAGACGAAAGAAAAAGAAATCAGAAAGGCATATTAAAAATGGAGGAATGGTTAGAAGTAACGTTAGAAATAACACCTACCTAAATATAAACATTACTTAAGTCGAGTGTGAATAACGATAAATGTTTACCACACAACAACCAATCAACCAACCAGCCAACTAATCAGTTGCATCTACACATCGTTTATTGCTAACCTGAGTTGCACATCTACTGCAGTGTCAGAGCTTATCCATACTCACACACACACACACACACCCAAATGATCAAATCTTGCCAGCTGTGGAGGAATTACAACCCGTCAAACAATGGTTAGCAGTTAAATGACTAAACCCCCAATGAGTAATAGGTCAGCTGTATAAACAAACTTCTGCATAGTCACCTTCAATTCAACTCCTCAACACACCGTATTTTGATAAATTCTCAACAGAACAGACACACGAACTGTTAATCCTCCTTTCATCAATCACACATATCCGTATGCGATGAATGCAATGGTCTGCTTAAATCACTGAGCTACACACATACATTTCCTGCATCCAATCAAAGTTCTATCAACTACGTTCCATCATCATCCATCCGACTATGTCATTGAACAACTGAGAAATTTAGGAAGCGGATCTCGTTCCATTTGTCATTCAGGTAGGTATATTTACCTCCCTAGACCCAGTAGATAATGCCTTTAAAGCCTTGAACACATTCACTGGGCTTGTAAGTCATGATAATAGCTTTATATTTCCCACAACAGGTTTCAGATTGAATAAGTTTTTCTGTACACATAGATCTGGTCTTTCTCTATAATCGCTAAAGCCTCAGCTATGGCTAGAAGGCGTAATCGTGTACCGAACAATCTCCCCAAAGGCACACGATTACGCCTTTTAGCCATAGCTGAGGCTTTAGAAATTAATAGAGAAAGATCAGATCTATGTGTACAGAAAAAACTTATTCACTCTCTTTGTCTACCCTGGCCCACTATAAGGTCACCAGGATCATAATCTTTTCGTACTATTATTATCATTATTTTGTGATATCGTGTCTTTATTATCCATTTCTCCACCCAGTTTATTTCACCTTATTGTTACCCTTATTTTTGTCAACCTTTATGATTTTATACTAAGCCGACCAATTCTGTAGCATTTTATTACAATTTACAATTCAGCCTCTTTATTTTATCATTAGATATTATCGGTCAACCCTCACATCCAGTGCCTCCTTTGTTATTGTGTGTTTGTATGTATATTTTGTGGTTATCGCATTTTCCTCACTCCAAGGACACTTGCATTCTGTTAACTATAAAACAACACTGTATCACCCAATCGTTCATTCACACTTCATCACATTTTTCTGACTAAACACCCTATACACATTTAATTGACTATGCTAACTAATGGACTGTCATATCAACTTACACATGCACCCCAATACAGTTTCTGATATTATTTTCATTTGCCTTTACTGGCTATATGTACTCTATTATTCATGGATTTATAACTGTAGAGCCTGAAGAAGAGGTTACCGAAAACAACTTTTCGCTCAAAATCTTGTTTTAATATATAATTGACTTACAGCATGAAGTTGTCTTCGAAGATCTTTAGATTCATCATCGCTCTTACGCACTAACTGTACATGTTGTACACGTTCCTCTTCCAATTGACGTACACGTGAGTGCAGTAATTTCGTCTCAGTTTTCAACTTACTTATATACAAACGAACAACAGTAAACTCTTCATCTAATCGTTCAGAACCAACGGATGGTTTCTGATGTCGTCGTCAACAGAAAACAAAGGAGGGAGAAAGAGGGAGGGAAAAAGAAAACATGAGGAATTGTAATCAACAGTCGGAGTAGAAATAATAAATCAGAGATGAAAATGAAGTTTCCCAAACTGACTAGTCATTTCAGAGTAATCAGTTCCAACGGAGAGGATTGAGGTTCAATAGTCTATTTAGCCCCATGACATTTAATCCTAACCGGTGAACTACAAAACGTAGTCGACAAAACCCTCACTCAACAACTATCAATCTAGCTGACACAAAACGATGTCATCTCTTAAAACAGGTCAGCTGAAATATTCTTGACTGTAATACAATGTCACAGGGGTTCATATCTCCATCTTCAGATTTCCTAAAACAAAATATTCACTTTCAGAAGGTATCACAACATCATGTAAGGTTGATGATGACAAGGGTGATGCATACAGAAATGGACTAGCCATTTACACAATTCTAGTAACACTAGACCATGAGCTGAACTTATTTTTTGAGGGATGGGTGAGACAGGACTCGAATTTGAAGTAATACCGCCTTTTTCAACAGAAAGTCAATGAAATAGAATAGGCAACACAGTAAGGCCACTGTCGCTTTCCGTTATGTACCACAAACAACTTTACACTGCAGAAAGTTGGATGTATTAGTCTCTGTCAATTATATAGAGAACTTTCTTTGCCAGCCACATACATGTACGTCTCAGTTAATCACTTTCTGTCTCAGAAAGTTTCGAGAAATATTCCCTGATAAGAAGAGACAGTAGTCGAACGTACTAACCAACTAACTAACTAATTTGACTACATTTTCCTTCAATTACACTCACTAATATAAACATGTTTTCTCCCCTGTACAGAATCAAAAAGACGGTTACAGAGGAGAAAATATTCTTTTCGATCAAGTCATCAACTCGGCCGTAAATTCGTGTGTGGGTGAGAAAGCCTCATAATTATTTCCGGTCGGTGAAGAATCAAATTAATAAAATTACAAAATCTAATAAACACGAAGATTGGATAATACAAAAGATAACACGAATATAATCACTGAGGAAGGATGTCCATTTTGCCCAATTACGGATTAAAACCGCATTGATAACACAATAGGCAGCAAGTTCGGATGAAATAATACTGGAACTGAATGGATGTTTTTATGATAATTGACTGACTGAATTTCAACACATGTTTGCATAGAAGAACAAACAAATCGGTAGACATAGTCCTTCTCTCAAAAGTGATATCATCTTGCGATGACGCCTTCCATGGCTTCAGCACGTGCTACAAATGCTGTCTTGATAGCTTCCATACCATTCACTGTCTGACAGTCTTCTGATTCAAAGCGAAACGAGAAGTGGTCAGCCCATGATGTGGCGCCGTAGAAGGATAGTTTGTGCGTTGCGTTATCATTCATTTGAGTGCGATCCCAGACGTCACTAGGTATATGTCGACTTAGAGTATGTTATATAGATTATCAGAAAGTCTACCTGTTGACGTGTGTCCATCAGTGAAATCCACTTTGTATTTGTATTAAAGTTTACTAAGATGAAACTTGCCTATAGCAGTGAATGTAGTAGCAGTCCTGATGCTCTTGGACGATATAGTTCTAATGAATGAAAATGTTTATATTACTCCATAGTCTTTCGTACCTATTGAAGATTCTCTGGGATATTTTTCTACCGTCTTGAATGCAAATTCCTACCTTCGTTTGGTTTGTTAACTACGTGTTCTCTGAGGTATTCAAATCCGTGTTGCTCGGCGTTGCAGTCAAATACTTTATAACAGCTATTCGGTATGCGTCTGACTTATCGAAGTGCATTGAATGCATCGTTTGGTCATGCCGAAGTGGGAAGTAGTATACCGTCTAGACCTTAGTGATGACCCCATCCAGTTGGTTGAATATTCCTTTTTGACCAATGAGAATTAAGTCCTTCAACTGTTCTCATTCAGCATAAATTGAAAGTGCATCACGATGGCAGTGGTTGTGAACTTGATCGGGAGAATTTGGTGTTGTTTATCGTGAAAAGGGAAGACTACTGATTAACTGAATATGAAAAGCATACTTTAACCTTCCAGCCTATGTAATCAGTCATGAGTATTTAAACAGTAATTTCCTCCTATAAAACAGTGACTGTATGTTAATTTGCGAAACCAGTCAAATATGGGGGAAATTTTCGTTGGGATTATCTTATGCAGTAGCGTTAAAATGCTTTCAAGTTGAGGTTGTGAGTGAATGTGCAACTTATAGGATAGGTAACTGTTGAATCCCTTGAAATTTACAATAATACGGAGAAGTGATGTCAAAAGATATAGTGAAACTATGAAGTAAACCAGGTTAGGTAGGAGCAAGCAAAGAGGAGTAAAATGGCATAATACTGTAGTGCACAGATTTAATAATAATAATAATAACAACAAGTAAATAGTTATAATCACTTTATGCCATACATTATGAAATTATACAGAATGGAATTCTCAGTATTTCAGCATATTGCGACAATTTATCTCCATTGACACACAGGTAACTCGATGCTTGAAATAGGCAAAATAATAAAACCAAAAGTTTATGGGAGAATATTATGTGTAACAATAATTCCGCTTATAATTTGCTGTTTATTTACAGATTATTAAGTAGGTTTATAACCTTGTCTAGTTTGCTAGTTTTCTGGCTGGTCCCAAGCATGGGAATAGAGGAAAGGTTGACCGTGGGACTGTCGGTCCTACTTCGGGAAAATCAATCCAATTGCTATAGAAAATTCAAGGCACAGGAAAAACATTAAAAAAGAAAATTTAGTCATCTCTGTAGTCGGAGAGATGAAATGACGTGAGCTTGGGGAAGCCTACGCGAAGCCTGTCAGCTAAGGTGTATTCATTCGCAGAGCAGAAAAATAAGCGTTAGGACATGGAATGTTCGAACAATACACGGGACTGGGAAGACTGTAGAAAGCTGTCAAAGAAATGAGAAAATACAGTGTGTAAGTGCTAGAAATCTGAAAAAGCAGGTGGAATGTATGTGCAATATCGAAATTGTTAACTCGACAGCAAGTCAATAATCTACTCCAGTCACACAGACAACAATCACGAGCATACTGAGATAGCGAGTGGTTGTCATGATGTTACCAACACCAGTTAAAGCTGCAATGCAATGGGAACCAATCTCCTCCTGCAGGACAATGACAACAACATTCAACTCAAAAGGAAGGGAGGAAGGTTACGATCATCCAATACTAGGCGGCTACAAAGAACTCCGAAGAAGGGAGATTTCTATGGACAACTGCAAACAGTAATGGATAACATCCCAGATGTGATGACATCCAAGTCCTAAGGGACGATATGAATGCTAACTGAACTGGGAGCATCCAATACGGGAGGAGAACTCATCATTAGTTGAGAAGCTGTAGGTAAAATGAATGACAATGCAGACCTCTTCTCAGATTTCTGCACCTCCAATGCTGTGGTGATTGGAGGGAGGGGGTACAAGCATAAGAATATACACAAGGCAACACGGATTCCACCTAACACATTGAAACACCGAGAATCAGATAGCCTTCAAAGCAGTGTTTCTCAAGAAAGTGGAGATGTAGTCTTCTGAAGACATACGATGTTGAGAAGTGGAGCAGAGTTGCGCTGAGACCATTGTCGATTTCACGGAACCTTCGAGGTAGAGCTGGAAGCCTTCAAAACAACTGAAGACAGGTCACAATTCACGTTCGACATTCGGAAACTGAAGGATAAAACCACATGTTTTGGCTTCACTACAGATCGAAACAAAGCAAAGTCGGAGACACTACGTGGCATCACTGAGGAAACATGCATCGAAGAACATTGTGTCCTTTTGCAGGTGATGTCCATAGAGACGTGTATTTTAGTTATAGGAAGAAAGAAGAGTTAAGAATGACAATGGCTCTCATCAGACACGTGAAAGCTAATAGAAGAGAGGAGAATGGTGAAGCAGAGGATGAACGAGTGCAGAGATGGACGGATGGATAGAGAAGGAGAGTCTGAGTCCAATGTACATGTCACTGTATGAGGAAGTGGTGATGAGTGGTAGGAGAGACAAAAGACAATTGTGAGATACACTGTCAACTGAAGCAGAGCAGGCTGCAGAAGAAGTGGAAGAGAGCTGAGAACTCCATATCAGATAACCAGGTGTCTATCAGGGAAGAGATCAACACAGATGAAGTCAATAAAAATGGTTGAGGGGACCTAATTATCAAAGAGGAGAGGCGGGGGAACTAATGGACTGATCACTTGATAGGGCTCTTCAACTGACCATCACATGCAACTGGTCTAGAAATACGACCACTAACAGCACACAGAGAACAAGTTCCAGTCGACACCTATCCTCGAACGAAAGCAGAGGTCTTGAGTAGAATCAAGTTACTCTACCGAAGGAAGAGGGGAAACAGCAGGACCAGATGGAATTCATCTTGTAGCACTCAAAACAGATCCAGAGACCTGAGATGATATGCTCACACCACTACTGAAAAAATATTTGGAAGGAAGGAGATGTCCCTACTGTTTGGAGGGAAGGCTATTTTATCACGCTACCAAAGAAGGGAGATTTATTTTGTCCCCTGCAAGAACTGGCGCTTACAAGTGTTCACGCCAAGCGAATTGTGAATTCGCATTGTACTGGAGAGACTGAATGTTGAACTGGATGCAGAACTCCGCTAGCCGAAACAAGCTGAATGCGGGAAAGGCAGATCATGTGGTGATCAAATTGCAACTGCAGTCATCATCCTCGGACAGAACATCGAATCACAGTCGAACCTCTATCTGAACTTCGATTTTGAAAGGCTTTCGACAGTGTTGACTGAAAATTAATTTGGAAGCGACTCACACACCATGACATGACCGAAATCTTCATCGACCTCAGTCAACAGCTTTCTGATAACTCCACTTTTAAGGTGATACCCAACAGGAAACGCAGGGAAGTTTCTTAAGTGACTACAGGAGTTAGACAAGACTGATTACTGTCACCACCGATGATATTCCTAATTGTCGTTGGCTGGATTACGCCGTATACCTTGAGTGAGGGGAGAGAAGACTGGAATGGGTTAGACCGACAAGAAGACTCTGGTAGATCTGAACTTCTTGGATGATTTATATCGAATGTTATACAAACAGGAATAGTTACAGACGGAAGCCAACAATCTGGTGGAGGAGGCTGGTGGCGAAGACGGGACTTCAGGTGAACATAGAGAAGACGGAGGGGATGAAGATGAACACCAAAGAATCAGAAGCACTAGTCACTACCGAGGGAATAAATTTGAAAGAGGTCACTCCCTTCACCTATCTATGAGGCTTCGTTTTAACTAGAGTCACATGGGATGAGTGAGGATGTCGAAATCAACATCCGAAAGGCGATGTAGACCTTCAGCATTTTGAAATCATGTTGGAAATCTTCTGCACTGTGGAGAACAGAGGAGAAGATTCGGGTTCTCAACAAGTATGTTAAGTCAGTCAGTTGTTTTATATGAGTGAGAAACTTGACGTGTGTGTTTGTGTTTCACGGAAAGCATTTCCAACAGGCCAGTGAGGAATTTTATCAATAGCTGACATTTTCGTTGTTTGACTGCATCCTGAAACTGAGATGCTTGGTAGAAAGAATTAGCAACATGAGCCTGTGGGAACGGATCAACTGCAAGCCTATTGCCGAGGAAATATCGTGGAGAAAACGGTAATGAATCGGGCACACGCTGAGGAGATCATCGGTTGAGACCACATGCCAGGTGGTCGATCGACTAGAACCCGAATTAAACTCGACTATCTTGGTGTCTAAATGTAACATTTAGTAGCTTGTTTAAGAGTATCTGACAGCCTATATGCTTCCGTAGAGTTAGCTGGAGAGGACTTCATTGGTGAGGAAAAACTGGAGATTTACTGCTGAAACTCCTATTCCTGTCGAAATCCAAGGGATAAGATATATATATATATATATATATTATATAGGTTGAAGGATTTCATCATGAGCTGACATCGGTTAGAGAATCACTGGAAAACCTGGGAGTACTGCACAGCTAATTCGTCCTAGTTTGGGACTTAACAGTAGGCACCCGCCACCAGGGTTCGAACCCAGGACCTTCTGGTTACAAGGCGTGCTAGCTCGTGGACCATTGAGCCACTGGACCCCGATCCAATGGCCCATGAATTGCTTGGTAATGAAGAACCCCAAACTAGGACGAAACAGATGTCCAGTGCTCCCAGGTTTTCCAATGGTTCTCTAACCGATATCAGCTCATGATGAAATCCCCCAATCAATCAAACAAAGAAAATCTCTACAAAACCAATACTTGAATATATATATATATATATATATATATATATATATATTATCGTTGTGATACATTACTAATTTTATTGAATTCAGATACAATATTACATATACTTTTTTATCAGCTTAGAATACAGACTTAGTATATTCTCAGAGAAATTTAAATTCATTTTTCTTGATTAAACAGTAATTAACTAGTAAAGTCACACAGATAGATATATATGAGTTAGTTGAATAAACAATGCACAGGATAGTGGATGCTAACGCTTTCTTAACTCTCATTACTATTATTTTGCGTCTGACCACTTTTTTTGCCAGTTCTGAAAGATTTTACGACCTACTCACTAAACAACCTGGAAAGGAGTATTCAGCAAAAGAAACTGTCGGATTTCGAACATTTCACGAAATGCATAATCCCCAGTATAGAGAATATGAAAATGGTTTTCCTCCGGGGATTTATGGTTCTTCTGTTATGCCTGTTACTATATGGTATCATTATTGGGGTTGCAAAAATTATGAAGGTATGTAACATACTATGTATAGGCTTTTAGGTAATTATTATGTTTAGAAAATATATTTTAGTGATAAACTTGGTGGAGACAACTAGGGATTTTTTTTATTTTGGACAGCAAAAGTAATTACAAATTAAAAATTCATTCTTCATGTTAAACTGACTGATTTCAGTCTCAATGAACAAGGTTTCCACCGGTTCAACTTTTTCACATATAAATCCAAGAACAATATTTAAGCGGGGCATGAGCTTGGAATCATGTATGTTCCCTTAGTTCATGTTCATTCTTCACTACTAGATGGATTTTCTGGGAAATATCCGATTTGCCGTTTGATTATATTGAGATGGCCTTTTGAGGTGAAAAGCGACAATTTCAAGATTCATTCACAAATAATCCGTTCAACAAGCACATTGTGTGGGTTGATCTCCTCTACAGAGGATTCACCTGGAAAGTACAGTGGTTGAAGTTACCCTATATTGTAACAACCACCTTTAGCTATTTTATACACCTATTCGACTATTATGTTGTGTTTCTGAGACAGATGCACAGATCTTAAGTTTTATCATTCATTTTATCTAATGATGAATGCGAATCATTCAGTGGTTCTGCGTTTAAAATCTCATGAATGAAGACATCCTATTAATTCAAGGAACGGGGTGTACAGTGTACACCTTATTCGAAGCTGACAGCACTTTGTGTACTGTCTTAATAACTGAATACAAATTAGTTTGTAAGGTTTCAAAAAGTGCAGTATGAAGCTGAATTCAAGCTCGGAAACAGCAGGCCATTGGGATTGCACAACACATGCGCGCATCAGTTATTTGACCCGTGCTAAATGAAAATATACGAAGCTACTGCATTTTAGTGTGATATGAGCTGAACATTTTAAATTTGTCATTAACTATCTAGTTTCATTCCTGTGACAGAGTTTTTAAGGATTAAGGACGTTACTTAGCTGTAAAGTTTGGATCGTGAGAATGAAGTATATTCAATAGTTATTAACATTTTAATACGGATTCATCACAGTTTTCTCTGTTGAATGGTAGTTATAATGATGTTACATGTAGGAGAAAGGGGTTGTTCAGTCTTTCTTTACTAGAGTAGTTAAAACATATGCTACGTGTATTTTTCTTCGTACCAGAATAAATAATGAAAATAAGCTGTTTTTGGTGTTAACTAATTGGATTTTAGACTGCTAGATTTGACCGTACGTGGAGGAGTGGATATCATGGCTGAAGTTAGAGTGACAAAGGAAGTCAGCAGACTGTCACATATCTTTATTTAACCTCAGAGCCCTATGTAATATTTTCTCACGCTTGGTTTTTTATAATCTGGTTTTCTCACTTTACCTGGATTTTTCGAATATTTTTGTTATTCCTTTTTTGAACATTTCATCTCCTCTTTCTTTGATGTTCCATCACTTCAGGGATTTCAGTTGTCTTCGCAACTTTCTCACTTCCAGCTATTGTCTCAGCTTGTTGATTTATTTCATCACCTCTGTCGTCAAGTTGTTGATAAAGCAACTGTAATTGTACATCTCCAACATTTTTCGCTGAAGTAAAACCAGCGCCAACAGTGATATTGCCCGGAGTGTAGGCTGAGAGAAAACAACACACGGTGATCAGCATTCTGCATAGTATTCATGATACGACAAGAACGCGTAATATCTCATGGTTTCAACAAAACAAGACTAAATCAAAAAGAAACCGACAAATCATCAAATACTTTCTTCTCTTACTTTGTGTGCTACATGGAGTGTGGCGACTTGAACTTCCTTACATTTGTGCAAAGTTTTATGTCGAAAACAGACAGACAGAGACATGCATGACAACGCAGAGCTATGTTGTGAACTTGTTAAAGTGTAAAAACGTCATAAGGTTAGTTGGTTAGTAATTATCATTACCTTTTTCTCTCTATCTTGTCGTTTGAATGAATAGCAGACTGTTTATTGTAGATTTCATCCACTAACCGACATAAGTATTGACATTTCTCTATGCAATTAGGGCTTTAAAAATAACGAGGCGAGATCGCTTGTGATTATTCAACCATTGGGATGAGATTCAATCATCACGTATGAATTCTAACTGCTGGGAAATAGTGATGGCGATGATCATCGTGGAGACGGCTAGTTTGACATTAGCCGCCAATTTATAGCTGTGATGAGTTAGACATGGTCATTGGATGTGGAAGACATGAAAAGGCCGGTTAGTTGTCTTTGATCATAGGTGTCGGTGTTCCACTGTTAGCTGGAATAACACATGGCAAGTATTGTTATGGTTGGAAGTCAAATTCTAGTTGGGGAGGTAAAATTAGTCCACGAGGTTGTGAAGTTAAATCGATTGAGATGATTAGTACATGTGTTACGAATGTGTAGCCACCAATCGCCTTCCTTGACGGGTTGGGTGGGTAGTGTTAGCTGCTGGCATGTAATGGATCAAGTTGGAAAAGAGGCAGTGATGGTCAAACGAGAAAACCTGTTTTCGCCGGGCAATGAAATCCACAATAGTTAGTTTGAACTAGCTCACTAGTCAGTCAGGTAGCGATGTGTCGACTGGTGTCTGGTTGATGTCCTCGGGATGGTAGGAAGCAATGATGGCTGGAGACAATTGGTGGTATGGCTCAAAATCTTCTTCGCTCAGTGATGGCTAGCGCAGATGCACTCACTCTTTGTGATTTGTCATATCGAAGAAAACTGGATTGTTCCTTCCATATTACTATTCACTTTACTAGATCAGACTACTGTTCACCATCCGTCTTCTGATGAGTAGTCTCTCTTTACTTTCTTATCTTGGTTTGTGTGCTAGAAGGATGGAAAGTGACAGCAAAGTTTTATGTTGAGACCAGTCAGTCAGTGGTTGATCATCCGCGAAGCACACAGACATGTTATCAAGACTTTGTTTATGCAGCTGTGCCTCCATCTGACAAGTGATAGCCATCGTGATATCAGATGTGTGTGGCATAGAGATGAGGAAAATGAAAAAGGTACTTCTCACCGAATTAGTCAGTCAGTTAGTTAGTTATGGCCTGACACATAATTGATGTGTTATGAATGAATATTGTGTATATGGAATGGAGAAAAGTGAACTGATGTGAACTGAGTTTTCAACGTAGATCATCACTGTACAAAATACAACAGTTCCAACTGGTTACACTTCATAGATAGATGTACACATAAATAAACTGAAATGTCTGAGAGGAGGAATGACGACATCGCGAGAATAATAGATCCTTGATAGATTACAAAAATGTGAGTGAATGTGCATCATTGAAAGTAATTTTGAGCCATCTAATGGAGAATTTGCAGTTCCATCGGGATAGTGAGTCGTAGTCTGCCTCATAGTTGTTCCCCAGAAGGCTGATGGGTGAAAGGATTTGAATCCCACCAGTCACCTGGCCCTGAGCGTAATTCAACCTGAGCAGCTGGGTGGCTAGCAGCATCTGTCTGTCTGTCTGTTTTCGACATAGAACTTTGCACAAATGTAAGGAAGTTCAAGTCGCCACACTCCGTGTAGCACGCGAAGCAAGAGAAGGAAGTACAAGAAAAGCATAATAGAAACAGTGAGCAGAGGTGTGAGACAAAGGAGGAGTAATAACGAAGAACAAAACAGTTTCATTGGAGATCATAAGTCACAGGGAGTGGATGCATCTGCGATAGCCACTGAGAACGATTTTGAGCCATGCCACCAATTGTTTCCAACCATAGATTTTCGCTGTCCCGAGGACCTCAACCTGGAAGTCTATACCTTCCTACGTGGCTTAGACCAACTGTTGTGGATTTCATTGACTGGTTCGGCCAAGTTTTTGTTTGACCGCCGCTAGCTTTTTCCAGCCTAACCTTATATCCGCTAACATTGCTCGTCGAGGGAGGCGATGGCTTGGCATACGTAACACATGTCCTAACCACCTCAGTCGATGTAACTTCACGACTTCGTCGATTGATTTCCCCTGTTTACCTAGCACTCGACGCCTAACCTCCATGTTGCTCACCTTATTATGCCACTTTACACGGGAAATAGAGCGCAGGCACGTATGATCAAAGACAGCTAGTCTTTTCATGTCTTCCACTCTGAGTGGCCAGGTCTCACAACCATAAAGGAGGACGGAGCGGACTGATGAGCAGTACACCCGCCCTTTGGTCGATAGTCGAACATCTCGTCTACGCCAGAGTCGGCGTAAACTGGCAAATGCGAAACGAGCCCCCTGTATTCGTGCTGAGATTTCGTCAGGGATCAATCCGTTGGGGCTAGCAGCATTGTTGGAAGTCTGTATTTTTTGTCTATGTACATACCCTAATACTTTCGGAGTTGACGACGTTATTAAGTGTTAGAGAGGTAGACTGGCTTTCTTCAGTAATTCTTAGTGTATGTGCTCTGCTGACTGACTGGTCTTGACTGACACCATAGTTTGCGTTTTCACTCGAGAAATAACGTAGTCATCTTGAAGAGTTATTTTGTAGAGATCCGATTTGTTTTAAGTTTGACACCAGTGAAAGAATTATTGGAAAACCAGGGTGATGTACTGGATAGTATGGGACTGTTCAGCAGTACGCATTTATTGGTGTTCCAACTTTCAGGATCATTGATTTTTGGTCACTTGTAGTAACTGAACAAATCCTGGCTACGAATGACATTGGCTGGTGACAGTCGCGTTAAAATTACGATTTGGAAGAGGTTAGAATTCATATGGCAGTGGATTGGATTCCGGTGTCGGAATGGTGTGAGAGCTTGACTTACAACTTTCAGGTGCAGGGTGCGTACTGCTGAGTAGTAATTCGAGTCTAGAGTATAACAACCCCCAGTTGTCACTCCCGGATTCTCCAATGTTTCTCTGAGCTTGTGATAAAAACTGCAATGTAGTCATTAAGTTTAAAAGGGAAGTGAGTGTTTGAGGTCTCATGTGAGTAATAGTAATAATAATAATGTGTTTAGAAATTAGTGGATAGGTAAAATTGATCCGCGGCAAATTGAATCTCCTGATCTCACGATTGTTCATAGCGGCATAAATGAAGGGTTGAGGAGTTCTCTGGACACAGAGAGAGAGGACGATTTGACAATTTTGGGGACAATTTTTCACCGACAAGTATTCTGATAACACAGATGAGAAATGTACTTAAATGTCAATGGTTATATCTCCACCTATTTTGTTATGTTTTCTTTCTCTCTTTCTTTCTCATAGTGTACTCTGGAGCGTGTACACAGCTTAGAGTTATCATTGAAAGAGGCTAAGGAAGGGGCTATGCGTGATCGTAAACGCTATCAAGTTGAAATTGAACGTATATATGTATATGTATATGTACATATATATATATATACATATATACGTTCAATTTCAACTTGATAGCGTTTACGATCACGCATAGCCCCTTCCTTAGCCTCTTTCAATGATAACTCTAAGCTGTGTACACGCTCCAGAGTACACTATGAGAAAGAAAGAGAGAAAGAAAACATAACAAAATAGGTGGAGATATAACCATTGACATTTAAGTACATTTCTCATCTGTGTTATCAGAATACTTGTCGGTGAAAAATTGTCCCCAAAATTGTCAAATCGTCCTCTCTCTCTGTGTCCAGAGAACTCCTCAACCCTTCATTTATGCCGCTATGAACAATCGTGAGATCAGGAGATTCAATTTGCCGCGGATCAATTTTACCTATCCACTAATTTCTAAACACATTATTATTATTATTATTGTTCACATGAGACTTCAAACACTCACTTCCCTTTTAAACTTAATGACTACATTGCAGTTTTTATCACAAGCTCAGAGAAACATTGGAGAATCCGGGAGTGACAACTGGGGGTTGTTATACTCTAGACTCGAATTACTACTCAGCAGTACGCACCCTGCACCTGAAAGTTGTAAGTCAAGCTCTCACACCATTCCGACACCGGAATCCAATCCACTGCCATATGAATTCTAACCTCTTCCAAATCGTAATTTTAACGCGACTGTCACCAGCCAATGTCATTCGTAGCCAGGATTTGTTCAGTTACTACAAGTGACCAAAAATCAATGATCCTGAAAGTTGGAACACCAATGGATGCGTACTGCTGAACAGTCCCATACTATCCAGTACATCACCCTGGTTTTCCAATAATTCTTTCACTGGTGTCAAACTTAAAACAAATCGGATCTCTACAAAATAACTCTTCAAGATGACTACGTTATTTCTCGAGTGAAAACGCAAACTATGGTGTCAGTCAAGACCAGTCAGTCAGCAGAGCACATACACTAAGAATTACTGAAGAAAGCCAGTCTACCTCTCTAACACTTAATAACGTCGTCAACTCCGAAAGTATTAGGGTATGTACATAGACAAAAAATACAGACTTCCAACAATGCTGCTAGCCCCAACGGATTGATCCCTGACGAAATCTCAGCACGAATACAGGGGGCTCGTTTCGCATTTGCCAGTTTACGCCGACTCTGGCGTAGACGAGATGTTCGACTATCGACCAAAGGGCGGGTGTACTGCTCATCAGTCCGCTCCGTCCTCCTTTATGGTTGTGAGACCTGGCCACTCAGAGTGGAAGACATGAAAAGACTAGCTGTCTTTGATCATACGTGCCTGCGCTCTATTTCCCGTGTAAAGTGGCATAATAAGGTGAGCAACATGGAGGTTAGGCGTCGAGTGCTAGGTAAACAGGGGAAATCAATCGACGAAGTCGTGAAGTTACATCGACTGAGGTGGTTAGGACATGTGTTACGTATGCCAAGCCATCGCCTCCCTCGACGAGCAATGTTAGCGGATATAAGGTTAGGCTGGAAAAAGCTAGCGGCGGTCAAACAAAAACTTGGCCGAACCAGTCAATGAAATCCACAACAGTTGGTCTAAGCCACGTAGGAAGGTATAGACTTCCAGGTTGAGGTCCTCGGGACAGCGAAAATCTATGGTTGGAAACAATTGGTGGCATGGCTCAAAATCGTTCTCAGTGGCTATCGCAGATGCATCCACTCCCTGTGACTTATGATCTCCAATGAAACTGTTTTGTTCTTCGTTATTACTCCTCCTTTGTCTCACACCTCTGCTCACTGTTTCTATTATGCTTTTCTTGTACTTCCTTCTCTTGCTTCGCGTGCTACACGGAGTGTGGCGACTTGAACTTCCTTACATTTGTGCAAAGTTCTATGTCGAAAACAGACAGACAGACAGATGCTGCTAGCCACCCAGCTGCTCAGGTTGAATTACGCTCAGGGCCAGGTGACTGGTGGGATTCAAATCCTTTCACCCATCAGCCTTCTGGGGAACAACTATGAGGCAGACTACGACTCACTATCCCGATGGAACTGCAAATTCTCCATTAGATGGCTCAAAATTACTTTCAATGATGCACATTCACTCACATTTTTGTAATCTATCAAGGATCTATTATTCTCGCGATGTCGTCATTCCTCCTCTCAGACATTTCAGTTTATTTATGTGTACATCTATCTATGAAGTGTAACCAGTTGGAACTGTTGTATTTTGTACAGTGATGATCTACGTTGAAAACTCAGTTCACATCAGTTCACTTTTCTCCATTCCATATACACAATATTCATTCATAACACATCAATTATGTGTCAGGCCATAACTAACTAACTGACTGACTAATTCGGTGAGAAGTACCTTTTTCATTTTCCTCATCTCTATGCCACACACATCTGATATCACGATGGCTATCACTTGTCAGATGGAGGCACAGCTGCATAAACAAAGTCTTGATAACATGTCTGTGTGCTTCGCGGATGATCAACCACTGACTGACTGGTCTCAACATAAAACTTTGCTGTCACTTTCCATCCTTCTAGCACACAAACCAAGATAAGAAAGTAAAGAGAGACTACTCATCAGAAGACGGATGGTGAACAGTAGTCTGATCTAGTAAAGTGAATAGTAATATGGAAGGAACAATCCAGTTTTCTTCGATATGACAAATCACAAAGAGTGAGTGCATCTGCGCTAGCCATCACTGAGCGAAGAAGATTTTGAGCCATACCACCAATTGTCTCCAGCCATCATTGCTTCCTACCATCCCGAGGACATCAACCAGACACCAGTCGACACATCGCTACCTGACTGACTAGTGAGCTAGTTCAAACTAACTATTGTGGATTTCATTGCCCGGCGAAAACAGGTTTTCTCGTTTGACCATCACTGCCTCTTTTCCAACTTGATCCATTACATGCCAGCAGCTAACACTACCCACCCAACCCGTCAAGGAAGGCGATTGGTGGTTACACATTCGTAACACATGTACTAATCATCTCAATCGATTTAACTTCACAACCTCGTGGACTAATTTTACCTCCCCAACTAGAATTTGACTTCCAACCATAACAATACTTGCCATGTGTTATTCCAGCTAACAGTGGAACACCGACACCTATGATCAAAGACAACTAACCGGCCTTTTCATGTCTTCCACATCCAATGACCATGTCTAACTCATCACAGCTATAAATTGGCGGCTAATGTCAAACTAGCCGTCTCCACGATGATCATCGCCATCACTATTTCCCAGCAGTTAGAATTCATACGTGATGATTGAATCTCATCCCAATGGTTGAATAATCACAAGCGATCTCGCCTCGTTATTTTTAAAGCCCTAATTGCATAGAGAAATATCAATACTTATGTCGGTTAGTGGATGAAATCTACAATAAACAGTCTGCTATTCATTCAAACGACAAGATAGAGAGAAAAAGGTAATGATAATTACTAACCAACTAACCTTATGACGTTTTTACACTTTAACAAGTTCACAACATAGCTCTGCGTTGTCATGCATGTCTCTGTCTGTCTGTTTTCGACATAAAACTTTGCACAAATGTAAGGAAGTTCAAGTCGCCACACTCCATGTAGCACACAAAGTAAGAGAAGAAAGTATTTGATGATTTGTCGGTTTCTTTTTGATTTAGTCTTGTTTTGTTGAAACCATGAGATATTACGCGTTCTTGTCGTATCATGAATACTATGCAGAATGCTGATCACCGTGTGTTGTTTTCTCTCAGCCTACACTCCGGGCAATATCACTGTTGGCGCTGGTTTTACTTCAGCGAAAAATGTTGGAGATGTACAATTACAGTTGCTTTATCAACAACTTGACGACAGAGGTGATGAAATAAATCAACAAGCTGAGACAATAGCTGGAAGTGAGAAAGTTGCGAAGACAACTGAAATCCCTGAAGTGATGGAACATCAAAGAAAGAGGAGATGAAATGTTCAAAAAAGGAATAACAAAAATATTCGAAAAATCCAGGTAAAGTGAGAAAACCAGATTATAAAAAACCAAGCGTGAGAAAATATTACATAGGGCTCTGAGGTTAAATAAAGATATGTGACAGTCTGCTGACTTCCTTTGTCACTCTAACTTCAGCCATGATATCCACTCCTCCACGTACGGTCAAATCTAGCAGTCTAAAATCCAATTAGTTAACACCAAAAACAGCTTATTTTCATTATTTATTCTGGTACGAAGAAAAATACACGTAGCATATGTTTTAACTACTCTAGTAAAGAAAGACTGAACAACCCCTTTCTCCTACATGTAACATCATTATAACTACCATTCAACAGAGAAAACTGTGATGAATCCGTATTAAAATGTTAATAACTATTGAATATACTTCATTCTCACGATCCAAACTTTACAGCTAAGTAACGTCCTTAATCCTTAAAAACTCTGTCACAGGAATGAAACTAGATAGTTAATGACAAATTTAAAATGTTCAGCTCATATCACACTAAAATGCAGTAGCTTCGTATATTTTCATTTAGCTGCACATACCCGAGTAGGTCTGCTGGAATAAGTCAACATCATTTCTCAAAAAGTCAGATGAAGTCAAATTCTACGTGTAGGCCAAGAAATATGTCAAATACTGGACTCTAAAAAACAAGCTTGTCCTCAAAACCTGTTGGATAGAGAGGAAATCATAATACACCTTTGCCTAGAACTGCAGCCCGTATGCTTGACTGTTTCATTTCTCAAAGTATCCTAGATACAATATCAACCAGTCTGATCCCCCTGTGATGAGCACAGGGGAAGCCTGGCCATCTACACAAATCTGATGGAACTATCTAAGACCACCACACCACATTGACTAGAACACCAATTATCCCACTCCACTATTCACCACTCCCATCTTGAAACATCTGAAGAGCCATGCTGCTGATCAATTGACGCAGTCCGCTTCGTCTTAGATCGCAGAGAGCTTCTGCAACCTCAACTACAGAGTCCTACCACCAATGTCTACATTGAGAAAAAAAGCTACCTAAAGTGCTAAAAATATCACTACTTCACTATATTAACAAAACATCGTGGAGAAGGGAAGTTAGAAGTCACTAGATTCACCGACTTACACAAAACTACTCAATAACACAAGGCGAAATGTCAAACGAAAATAACAAATAGTATTAACACAAAATATTATGAAAGAACGACTACCAACAGAAGACGAAATAGACTACCTGGAGATGCATTTGCGAGACCAGCAGATCGTGGTGTAGAAGTAGAGACGCCATCTAGCATTAGTGAACTGGAGACACTGGGTATAGTTATCAAATCTCTTGTATTATCTATAGCGCCAGAATATTGACTTTCAATGAACCAATCAGCTTCACTAACAGTTTCACCTGAAATTTAACGTAAAACACATATTATATGACAAAAAAAATTACGTCCAAGTCAACATCCATATTTATGCATGATGTAAGCTGGAACTATTACACCTTTCCTCAACCTATACACACGAGTTCAACATGATGGGAGTGATGAATGGAATGATTTCCTGTGACCACTTTGTCACAATACCAAAGTAGAATAGAATATTACTCCACTAGTGATCTTAACTGCTACACGTCATTTCTCCACATTAAATTATAATTCAGTTTCCCACGACTGCCTTTATGAGTTACATTCGACAGATGACGACTGATAACAATAACCACTTCCCTAGGCTAAAATGTGCAGAGCGAGCTTCCGACCCTCTCATCCATTAACTTAACGCTACATACCTAACACAATCAGCCATACATCAACGCGCATCAAGCAGGATGGGAATAATCTAATCGATCGTGAAGCAGGATAAAACGAAGAAATAGATGATGTAAATATAGATATAAGCTGTTATAACAAGGATTGGCACAAACCATGAATTCACCCCTATCATTCCTACGATCATTTCTGAACATTTTTACCAGGAATTTCCAGCCATAGGTTCTGATCGGCGTGCGGCTGGTTCGCTTAAGCGCTCCATTTTCAGTCCATCGGTTCGCGGAATTCAAATCCTGTAAAATCAAATTCAGCCTCCCCAACTTGGTAGCAACATTAGTCTTTACAAAATATTTGTGGCTTACGGTCCGATACACGAGATATCTGCTCAGTCACTTTATGCTGCCAATACCTTGAATATTTCAAGCATACTCCCACATCAATATCTTACTTTCCCTCTGTGCTATTGGTTCACATTCCCATCCTTTACATTCTCTATTCCTACTCAAAAAGATACAATTTACGAAAAGACGAATCAACACAACTGTCATGCAGAAACAGCTCAAGTTGAATTCCCGTAATTGGTACGACATCAACAATTCTGAGTCCTTAATTTCAAAACTTTCAAGTTAAACTTAAGCAAAAAACAGTCACAGTAAGTATTCCTTACCTGCTCGCCAACGTTTTAATTCACTCTCCAGATGACTTACAATAGTGTGTGATTTACCAACCTTCTCTTTTTCTTGCTCATACCTCCTACGCCATTCATCAGCCGTAATTTCTTCGTTCACCGTTACCAGATTCTTGATGGTCTTGGCTCGCATACCGAACATTAAGGTCGACTTCGTTTCGGCTTCATTATAACCAGCAGGAGAACAACAGATCACCATAGTTGTTCGTGCATTCCCTCCAAGAGATTCTTGAAGAATGCGAGTTAGTTTAGAGTCACGATAAGGGACGTGAGACGAATAAGTACAACATATGCAGACAAGAAATTCCAGTCGCAGTAGAAGCTAAATATATGAGTTAGTGTGATGGGTTCTTCTGCCTCAGAAACACACAGTACAGAACTCTGCTAACAAGCGAGCACATACAAATAGGCGTGATCAACACAGAACAATTCAATATCTTATGCGTCTTAATCACATGGAAATTCAAAGTCAACACTGGCTACAATACCACCACCACAACCTGAGAGCATAAACTTACGCTTCCTTCCACAAGTGCATTGATCACATTACCAAGAGCAGAAAGTGATTTGTTAATATTTTTGGCTTCGTCCAACACAGTACCCTCAGCGCCTGTCTTCGCAACTTTCTCACTACCAGCCAAGTCAACAAGATAAAGTTTCCCATGTAGTGTCTTTTGAGTTTCCAAGTTCTCTTGTCGAACATTGATCAGGAGAACTGAGTGACTTCGAGAACTGTGCTCATTCATGTCTATAAATGGATAAGAAGTCAAACATTAGCGTCACATAAACCCCCAAGATAACTTGAATTTCATGCACAAAAAAGCAATATTTCAGTCAAACCACCACGCCTAGCTAACACTCAGGTACGACATATACTAAGAATACTTACTCGTCACGGCTACATGACGGTTAGCCTTCCCCTCGTCAATCGCTTTAAAAACCTCTTCTGGAGTGGATACAAACTTTTCTGTGACATCCTCAAAGATTCTTGTTAGGGAGGAATTATATCTTATTAATATGATACTGGTATGATTATGAACGATAAATTGTGTTCGAGACGTCATCTAGTATATAATACTGTTTCACTGTGGTACATTTAATAAACAAACTAATATGGAATTATATCTTACTTTCACGTAATGAACTCGGTCTTTATCTTCTCGGTCTTTGTCCTCATGCACCGGTAGGTTTGTCTTCGAGACTGAATCAAGATATAAATTAAATTAAAAAACTTACCATCAAGGAGGTCACGGATTTTTTCCATGTATATTTCAAAGTAAGAAACCTGAAGATAAGAAGAGCAGCACCACAAAAATTACCTTAATGTGGAACTCCAAGTTCTCGTCCATTTGGTATATATGGTTGAATATATCATCAACTATCCGCGGGATAACACCTTGAAAAACTGGGTCACCTAAAATACCCTGAGGAGAAATAATCAGAAAACAGAATGTCATACCTCCATAGTATAAGTCTTTCCACTCGATGTTTGACCATAGGCGAATATTGTTCCATTATATCCATTCAACACATCTGCAACAATAGGCTTGGCCACAACTTTGTACACCTCTAACTGAGATGCCTTCGGCTGAACTACATGATCAAAGCTAAAGATTTTACCCTAGATAGAAGAGTTGTCACAAGTTTGAAAACCATCAAACATACCCCAAGAAATACAGTTGTGTCTCCATCACCGGGGAATGACACCACAAACTTGCTGTCGTTTGCTTTCTCTTGCTCATTAAGTGGCCTCACACGGCACACAACTTTTATGCTCTCACTCACAGTAACCCATAAATCTGAGTCTGAAAAGCTGAGTGGATTCTCAGGAGCCCGCCAATGTTTTTAGACAATCGGATGAGCAGACAGATAAACAAAGCAGAACACATATTGAACAGCATGCGTGAAGTTAGCCTGCATCAAACTGAAAGAGTGGGAGTGAATCCCTTGCAATCTATACAGTCTCCCTTCGTTTCTCTGTCTCCTCTCCTCAGTGTCAAGTTTAAGAGACTTGATAATCTGTTCATCAAGCTGCTAGTTTGTAGAATTTGGGAAGGTTGTATTGATAGAATGCACGGTAGGGTCCCAGCTGACTACAGTGAGCAGCAACAGTGACAATCTTTCATGAAACACGTATTTAGGTGTTGTGCATGCGTGATTGCATGTGGCCTCTGAGATGAGGAGTAGAATTTTCACCTTCATCCTGATGGGCAGCAGAAATGAAAATAAATGCCAATTGAGTGAAAAAAAATCCACAAGTAGGAAGACCGTATGTGTTTCTACACCGATAGCTAGATGACACATCTCTAGTGCATGCCCTATCATAGGTTATTGCCAATCAATTACGCGATTCTCGAACCTAGCTGAGCAAAGGATAGGACTGGTGTTTGAACCTCAACTATGGGGTGTGATTCGTGAGTAAACAGAAGTGGAGTAGGAGAAATGTCCATGGATGGATGAACGGAGGAGTGGTCGGGGAGTGGGGGAAGGGATATTACATTATACGAGGTATTTATCGTCAATCGACAGAGAGAATGGCGGAGAATGGCGCTAATTGTCCGATTAGTGCTCTCCAGTAAACCACTCAGCTCTCGGTGGCTTAACGGTAGAAAACCCGCCAGCCATGCTTGTGTTCCAGGGTCCTATATCTGGCCTATGCACTCCCTTGCCCCACTAAGCCAGTAATACGGCTAGTAAAGAGGGAAGGTTGGGTATTAGGCTAGTAACTCCACCCCATAAAACAAATGCCACTGCTACCGAAACTTCAAAGCCCTAGCTTGAAGCCCTGCCCCACTGAGAACGTAAATGAATCAAAAATGATTCAAAGTTATAATCCCGGAGTAAGGACAAGTTGTTCATAAGATGAGGAGGACATTATTTTTCAGTTTATTTGTATATATACTACTGTCCATCGAGTTGCACTGAGTTCTTAGTGCAACTGTATGTAACTGCATTTACATAAGTAAAACATTACAAATGCTCCTGTTTTTAGAATGAAAAACATGACTCTTCTCATTCAGTTTAGTAATGAAGAATGGAATTTCTTCCACGTAGGTACTGACGTGTCATTTAATTGAGGTTTTAAAGGAATGAATTCGGTACGGAGAACCACTGTGGAAACCGAAAGTACCTTTAGTTCACTAAATCTTTCTGACTTTCTGAATAAATTTGATTACTTTCTCCATGATCCTTGATATGACAGGTGTTATAGTGATAGGCCTATGATTACATGCACTAATTTTAGGCCCTCCTTTATGCTTAGGTTACATGTATGTATTTTTCCAAGTTTCAGAGTAGGTCCCGGTCATCAGTGAGAGAGTAAATATTCTAAGTAATAATACTATCATATCCATACCACCGTTTCTGTATATGTCATATGGTATGTCATCTATCCCACAACTACCGTTAGCTTTTAACGTCCTTACCGCCGATGCTATATTTTGTATATTAAAGTTGATTTCACCTAACTTGTAGTTATTTTTGCAGGTTATGTCGAGAATTGGGGACGGATGCGCTTTGGTGTTATTGGAGAACCACTCACTCAGGAGTTCACTAATGATCTGGGGATCATCATAAATTATACCTTCATGTTCTAGGCGGCTATCGTTGTTGTCTTCCCCCATCTTCAGTAGTTTTTGCAAGATCTTGCAGAGTTCCTGAGTTTAAGAGGTGCCCTCTAGGGCTTTATTTTCCTCGACTTGTGCCTTCACTTTATGTCTCGCTTCAAGATTTTTAAATTTTCCATGTATCTGGTGTAATGCACTAAATTCTTTGTATAAATAAAATTTCCTTTCCAGTTTCCTTAGTTTTATTCTCGTTTTGCGGTCTATGAATGGAGTTGGTGTCTTTAGGGCAGATTTCAGGGGTGCGATTGTGTCTCTCACTGAACTGATTGTCTTGTAGTAGGCATTTGGTATTACTTCTAAGTTATTATTGGTGAAGTATTCACCC